CAGCCAGACGTGGCCCTATTGAGTACAACACTTTGAGCTCTGCCCTTCTGCCAGTTCTTCACCCAGTGCACTGCGAATGTGCTCATCCCGCAGTTGGACAACTTGTCCAGAAGGATGCTGTGATGGACAGTATCAAAAGCCTTACCAAAATCAAAAAAACTACCTTTCCTTCATCCACTAGGCAGGTGGCCTTATCATGGAAGGATATCTAATCAGTTAAACAGGACTTTCCTCATTGCACAAAGCGTTCATATATGAGTGTTGCTATTCTATCTCATCACTCTCAACACAGAAACTACTGGAATTAGAAAAAAGTTCAAATCTATGACACATGTAACTCTGTGCTAAGATGCAATAGAAGTTTCAGGTTGAACATCTAGAGAAAATATTTTCTGATAACTTTGAGAACTCATCCGGAACATGTGGAAGGTAGCTTCTCTCCAAAAGTATATAACCAAAAAGCAAAAAAGCACACTGCCAGCTAAGTGGGTAAGAGAAGACTGTTGCTTACAACGGTAATTTCACCAGTCTCAGTGACACCATTCATGTAAATAAAACACATAACAGGAGGAGAAAAGAATGCAAATAAACCCAGATGCCATACAGAAAGCTAGCACTAACATAAAATAAAAGTGAAGAGCCAGATTCTTCCCGGAGTCTGAAGACCTCAAGTCAGTGTCGGAAAATGCAGGAAGACTTCAGGTACTCAACCCATTGTTATTCTGTTTTGATTTACATGAACTTCAATCCCATTTTGCTGAGTAAATTAGAACTGCACCTTCTCTCTTGAGTACACAATCTTTGTGAGATTTTATACAGGGAACTGGCAGTGTAGCAGAGCAAATTGCCTGCCAGACCACCTCCTCGGCATTTTCGATATGTATTGGCTTTCACCTAATACACACACTTCTCTGTCACAGTCATAGAATAATTTACACAGGGTCTGGTTTCCCCACTTTTGTGTCAGCAGTGTAAGGATAAAGGTGTAAGGATATAAAAAATCCAACTTTACAGCCTATACTTTTAAAACACAGACTATATTTTTAGTGTTTTCCTCATGTTATTTAAATTTTCTGTAATATTACAGAGGGCAATTAATAAGCAAGGAGTAGGAACTCCAGGAAATTGCAAGAGAAGACTAACCAGCTATAAGGAGCAGCTCTTAAAGAACTGAGACCCAGTTTCTCTCACAACACTTTTTTTACTTTAAATTCACATCTTAGATTATCGCATAGCAAGTGTCGACTAAGCAGAAATATTTCATATTTTATTATGGCATACCATAGGATAAAATGAGAACCTTATAATAAGATAAATGATGGACACTTTCCTAAGACCTGAATAAAAATTAATTAAAGCATTCATTTGCATGCAGGTTAAAGAATGATGCACATACTGAGGTGGCATTTTAAAAGATAATCTGCAGCTTTGTCATTTGTCTTTCTCCAGACATAAGTTGTCTCTTCAATCCACAGTACAGCTCACTCACTACCTGGTCCCAGACCAAAAAGACAGTGGCAGAGTCAGTGTGACTCTCTCCAGGTGTTCTTAGAGGAGTCGAAATAAAGGTCATAAATGCTGGAATAAGTCCCAGATGTGTGTTTGTGGTATGGTATGCTGCGGTATGGTATGGTATGGTATGGTATGGTATGGTATGGTATGGTATGGTATGGTATGGTATGGTATGGTACGATCTGTCAGTGGGAAAATGATCCGTTGCTGGCAAGAAAGGCTCTTCAATGACTAAGCAACTAGCTGGATAGAATACAGCTACAGTTCTGTAAAAAAACTTGTCACAGGCTGCCTCAGCTACTATGATATTCCAAAGTACATACATTGTGACTGAATTATGAACAAGCATAGATGAACCATTCCCCTTAAAATTACAATGCCAATATTCTAATGCGTGAATTACCATAATTGTTAAACATCTCAAACACCACTCTTCAGAAACACAGGGGCTAGGAGCAACGGTGATTTCAGCTGCTGAACATTTATGGGGGATAAGAAAAAGGATCACAGGATCCCCTTATCAGCTTCTACGCTTCCCTGCCTTCTCCAGCACACGCTGCAGGCCTGAAAACTTGTTAAGGAGTGCAGAATCGAGAACTTCTGAGCCTGCTGTACTTTATGCAGTGGACGAGGAAAAAGAGGCACAAAAGGCAGCTTTAAAGGATTTCTGCTTCCTGCCTTTCTTGCACTATGCTGTACACAGTTCAGATACAGCCAGGAGTTGGGCCAAAATGCTTGGTGTGGCTATATCATACTCCATCAGACAGCTGGAATCATTTTATGTTGCTTTTTTAATTTGAGACAGAAGTTGTGTCTGTTTTTCTTTTCATATTTAATCTGTCAGCTAAGACTTCGCTTTCCCTCTTCCAAAAAGTGCATTCAGAATGCAGTTTATTTCAAATTTCAGTTTCCCTGTATTTGATCTAATCATCTTTTTAATGGCTGAACTCTGCTTTGTTATACATCCTCTATACATTTATATCATAATTGCCAATCGATTAGGCTGTAAGTTTCTTAAAGACCATGTAAGACAGCAGAATCTTCTTGGAGTGCAAAAGCTTGCATTGTAATCAAAGTGGGGAGGGAAGATTTGTACCTGTTCCACATGAAAGCCCAGGAATTTTAGAACTGAGACCTCACCCAGAATGATTTCTAGTATCAGCAAATGTTCAACTGCACTCTATGAATATCATTTGTTGAGCAAGAGAAACACATGACAGCGACTCTTTTCAAGATGGCAAGAAAAAGAAATGAGATACCTTAAAGTCAGCTTCCTAGAAGGCTATGTAAGATAGCTAAAGTCTAAGTCCTACTTCTATACACAAAACATAGCTGAACAAACTCCTAATGATTAGTGCCTTAGTTCTTCTTGTTTGGCAAAGCTTCGTTGCTTCAGCTTCTCAGGGCAGAGGAGGAGACTGTATCCAAAGTATATTTCACAAAATGTTTTTCTACATTCCCCTTCACGGAGCATGAAAAGTAGATGCTCACTTGCTTACCCCTTTCAGTATTGTATTGTTGGCTCCTGGAAGACAGTTCTGTCATTTGTGAAGGGTGCAAGAGAGGTTTATTTTATCTGGCAGCTTCTCTTCATGTCCTCTGCAAAGCAGTTTTTTTCTGAGGCATTGAGTACACTGATTTTCAGAGCTCTTAAATCAAGAGCAAGCTCTACTTCTCAGCAACTCTGAAAACCCAGCCATGGGCATTTCACTTTCGCTATCATTTTCAGAAAAAAAGGCTTAACTAAAAGAGCAGAAACTATAATTCTTAACCTTGCAGCTATCTTCTCTTACTTCTCTTTGCAGGGCTTTCATTCACTCCCTCTAGGCACTCTCTTCATCTCTCCAATACCATCACTTCTCCTCATGCACATGTTCTTTCCCTCCAGTTCTTACAGTTAGTCTCCACCATTCCCTCTTCGCTCTCGTTCTCTGTCTGATGGTTTCTGTTCTCCAGATTATCCTTATGCGTACAGTTAGTGTCTTTCCTTCCTAATCCTAGCCAATCCTATCTCTTTCCAGTCCACAAGTGGTCCCTGCCTTCCCTGTCTAGATACTTTGTAAACAGAATTCACACTGAACAGTAGAATAACCAATTTTTTAGTACCAACCCTTTCAACCTCGTAGAGCCATTCAATAAAATATCTACACTTGTAAGCAGTACAGTAAAGATTTTATGATAAATGTGCTATGAACTGAGAAGCTTGCCACTGCAAGCATATTTATCTAAAATCATGTGGAGTACAGCTGTGGTTTTCTGGCAACACACTTAGAATGGCTGGAGTATCCCATGATTAAACTGAGTTATATTGTCCTTTCTAGCTTACAGAAGGCGCTTTCTTTTTTAAAATCTGCCATCCTTCCTCAGAGTTGTCATATGTACTTTCAAGAATTTCTTTCATATAAACAAATTTTTCCACTAAACAGCCCCAAGTCCTGTATTAAATGGCACGCAGCATTACTGCGTTTTGTCAGAAAGTGCAAAAGAAATGATCTTCCTGCTGTAAGCAGAGACATACACGTGCAGTGAGGATCTCTGATTCTGAATGCTCAGCAATTGGAATAGACTCAGGAGGACTATCTGCTGCGTCACGCTAACAGGTCCTCCACAGGCTCAACCACCCGTGTTGCAGGAGTGTGGTAGAACCCAAAGTTCTACATTCTTGTCCATGAAAGCAGTTCTTAAAAAGGCAAGGGTCAAGATTTGCAAACTTAATCAGTGACTTAAAGGCGGCAGCCAAACTAGGCACTGTAAGAAACCAAGTCCACTTTGAGGATCTTCCAAAGGTGGGTAAAGCTGAAACCTCTCTTTTCACCCAAGCTACTTCGACTAGGACTAAATTTAGGATAAAAGACAAGTTGTACTTCTATGCTTTGGCTGAATTTCTAAATCCATTTGACAGTTGAAAGTTGAATGGTTATGCAATTCTCTAAATTTGAAGAGTATCCCATAGATTATTAACAAGTTATGGGCTTGTAAACCACAGGGTTGCACAAGCCAGTGATTGCTAATAATTTTTTAAAAAAGCACTGTCTTACATAAAAAACCCCAAAGGTCTCACTCACTGTCTCAACGATTCACTTGCTCAGCAGCACTCAGGGTGCTGTTACCCTTTGCAGAGATCTTTTCACCCCAGTGTTTGGCCCAGTGAATCCACCTTCCCCTTCTCATAAGTCTTAGAGTCTTTTAAGAATAAGAAAGGGCATATGCAGCTGCCTTGGACTACTTTACATGAATGTTTTGGTAACCATTTACAAGTTGATCAAACTAGAACAGCCATTAGCCCATGAGAGTTAAGATAAATTGTATTAACTGCCATCCCAATTTTTCTTACAGTTAATACCATGATAATAATTCTGTACATTTGAGGATAAAAGAAGAGGGATGTTGAACATGATGGTGAATGAAAACAAAATATTACTAAAGTTTAGTCAGACTGCTATTTCAGTAAATTGGATAGAAAAATTGAACTGATACGTTCATTACATTTAAGAGATATCCACTCCAAATCCCCATTCAATTCCCTGAAATTACACAAATGAGAGTACACAGATTTGGCTCACAGTTCAAGGAGAAGACCAGCAGAGAAATGCATTCAGCCTCAGAAAGCATGCATATGAGGTCAGCAGCAGGCTTTTTTTTTTATTTCCTTTTTAATGCAGCTGTCTTCTTTGGCTGGACATGGGTAAAGGAAACACCTTCTCACCAGACACAAACTGCCATACAGTCTTTGGCACAGTCAGTATCCACACAAAGCCTGCATTACTGCACACAACTGTTCATGCATAAAACTGATGAAATGTCTTCCTCAGCAGCTTAAAGTAGTATGTAGAAAGAGAATAGGTTTGTGAAATGAGTGAAGAGTTGAAGTTTCGATATTAAGACACACCAGGACATGCTGGAGAAACATTAAATAGCCCCTCTTTTTCACAGCCTTCTCTGATTTGTCACCCAGTCTTAACCACACTCTGCCTCGGAAGGTTCTCAGCCAAGGCAGTTCACGGACTGCATATATAGCCTCAGCTCAGCAAAAGAATCAAGTAAAATACGCTAGCTTAAACCACTGCAGTTGCAAGCATCTTTTGTTTAACATCTACAATGGCACATGAGTACAAACTTTAAGGTAGCAGCACAGCACAGCAGATGCCTGAAGGCCTCTACAGTAGAAAAGCCTATGGCAAAACACGGCCTCTACAGTAGAACAATGGGTTTGGGAATTCTTGTATTTAAGAACAATTAACAATTCGATAGTCCATTTCTGATCAAAAAAGAGCATCTCTTTTATTCTCTTGTACCAATAATTCCTACTCAGGACATTACTGCATTTAGAGAAATCCATTTTATAAGGAAATTAACTGTAATTGTTTAAAATGTATAGTAGAGGCATATAGGCTTCTACTACAGAAGCATATATAGAAGAAGTTCAGCTCAGGACAATCTGTGAATTTCCTAAAATTCCACAAAAGAACCTATTCTTAGATGAATAGTAACCTATTTGCAAAATCCTATTCCTTCCGAAGCTAATTAAAATCCAGAAGAAAATAACCAGTCTTCAGATTTTTACCAGGTGTCCTTTCCCACAAATGTGCTTACATCCCCAGGCTCAGTGTCCACCTTTCTGAGGCTTCAGTAAACCACTTCTAGCCTTCACAGATATGGAAGTTTTTATTATCGCAGATAGTACAAGAGGATCTCTGTCCCTTGGCCGCTACTGGGTTGCCAGAATTTAATCAAGCTATCTGCCTTAAAAATAAGTGTCCTGTTCGCTTTCCTCAGACCTCCATTTCGAGCCTTTTCCTCGCCGCTTCCTCACTGCTTTCTTGTTCACTGGGAGAGCGCTCGCACTCTCAGATGCACTCCCTCCCAAGTTTTTCTGACTACAGCTTCCCCTTAGATGTCCAAGCTAGCTTACTTTCCACCTTCTGCTTCTACTTCATATTAGAGGTCAAGCAGATCACAGGTTTTAAATCCACGTGATTCAGTCTGTGACAAGATAGGCCTGAGTCCCAAGGAAGAATACCTTACTGGAAAAAATGTGCCCTACATAGGAATGAGACAAGACTAATTTAACACTAAAGCCAAAACTCAGCAAATTGAAGTTGGAAAAAGAATTCTCCATATCACTACAAAAGCTGCCTACATTGTGGAAAATTTTATGTCGAAGTGAACCAAAATTGCAAAAGAATGGAGTTTTTATACAAGCTGTTCTAAAGTAAAATTTCCAGATTTTCCACCAGGAAAATATATTTTGTTAGTAGCTAGTAAAAGATGAAAACTTGTATTTCCAGACACATCCAAAACGACCTGTAGCCAATTCTGACTAATGTGGTGCATTTAGTGCTACACTGCATTACTATCCAAGAGACCCACAAGCAAACATCCTTACTGGGAACATTAAATATATCTCCCTTCAAGCAGGTTAGCAGAAAATCAATATGAAATTTTCAGTGGCTTCCACGCAAATCTATCTGTGAAAGAGATTTCCAGATCTCTACTAGTCACTTAACTTTCTCCAGCTGTCAAGTAATGCACTTACAGTTGGGTATTATTTAACCTAAACATGCCACAATATGATAATACCTGAAATTAATGTTATTTGAAATATAGCTGTACTTCTAAACATAAAATCAGACTTTTAAATTAGTGCAAAAAAAAAAAAATTCTTTGAGTAACAATTTCAATTGATACCTTCCACACACATAAATTAGATATTTTACTGATAAACAGGCCAGAAGTTGAACTTCTGTGGTCATCAAAAGATGCTAATGTTTTCTACAAGGCAATTGTAAATTGCCATGCCTTCAGTGACAAGAGATTTCTGGAGCATGTGCACTATCACAAATTCAGAGAACAATTCAATTTGCAGGGACTTCGGGATGTCTTACCACCCAACCTACTCAAAGTGAAGTTGACACTGGACTCAGGCTAGGTTGCTAAGGACTTTTTCCATTATAGTCTAGTTTTGGTTTGTGTTCTTTTCTCTTGAAGTTATCTCTCAGTATATCAGTTGGGTGGTCACATCAAACTGTCATATATTTACTTCCTTTAAATCTACAAAGAGAATGGGACAGATTTGCCATATTTCATCCAATGCAAATGATATTTTTCATTATTTTTCATCAAATGCCCTACATTTACTTATTGAGCTTGTGTTTAAATATCTCTATATTTCAGACGGGTAGCCTTCTGAGGACTTCAGGAAATCATCTCATCCAACCTTCTACTCAAAATAAGGTCAATGCTAAACTCAGATCAGGTTGCTCAGGGCCTGTTCTATCAAAGTGTATTTGGGTGGGGTTTTTTTCTCTCTCTTGAAGCCACCGCTCAGTATATCAGTAGGGTGGTAGCAATGCATACTCATTTCAAACGTCACGATTCTGTCATGAAACAATAACATCCAGCACAGTACTTTGGCTCAGAGCTTGGAGCTTCTTTTCTTATTCTCTGATTTTTTTTTTTTTAAGTGACTACTGATGAGAAGAATACTCTGCTAGAGTGAACTTGGATGGTTTTGCCACACAGCGTTCACCCAGCTTGTACAAAGATGAACCCAACACTCAACTACAAAAAAGCCACCAAAAAAACAGCAGATGAAATAGTGTCCTAATTTGCTTTTATCTTGCCTCAGAAACATTTCAAAGACACTTGATATATTTTTCCCATACTTGGAAGATAAGACTCCCAATCTACTTTAACTTAGACTGACTCAAATGTGTTATAGTTAATAGTTATCGTTATTATAGTTAAACACTATAATAACCCTTAATGTGTATTCCCTAGAATAGATTGAAATTCAATTAATATTTTTTATAAGATGAATGCTTTCTACATAAATTTTGAACAATGATTGAAACCCAGGATGTGACAATGAGAAGCTAAAATTGAGATTTCATCTTGAAAATAAATCTAAGACAAAAGCAAAGCTTCTGTCTTATTGTCTTTCTCTAGCTTTTGTAGCAACCATCTTATAAATCATTCTAGAGTACCCTATGACGAAAGCAACAGTGCTCCCCATCAGTAAAAAAATCACTATTATACCCATCTAGGGTTTTTCCCTCTTTTCTGGAAGAACATTTATGCAAGTGAGAAGTGTAATAATGGTTGGAACAAACTACCTCATGGACAGGTGCTGGGCAAGCAACCACTGAACTGGAGTGCTGCCAGTACACCTCACTCTCGGCTGGATCTTTCCACAGCAGAAAGCTCGGCCATAATGTTTGCGTTTCACTCATCAGCCACTTCTCTGTTTTCAACCTTTACTCCTTCTCCTGCCAGTGTTTCCTTTTGAATGCAATGAGGCTTTGTGCAGAGGTTATTCAGAATCCAATACAATTCTTGACTATATTCATTTAAACTTTAAATGAAACAAGAATAGCGTCAATTTTAAATCCCCATAGTAGTGGTAGCGGTAGGTATAAAAATCTTCCAGTGTTGGAAACTCTGTCTGCCTAATACAAAGTCTTTCTTTCAAGGCATGGGATTATTTTTTTCTGATTCGTTTGTGGATTTCTTCTTTTCCACTCTACAAGCTTACCATTGCATTTCTTATCTTCTTCTCCTAGTGCCTTTGAGTGTGACTTCATGCTAACTCTTTACATTGGAGAGCCCAGGTGATTTTGTTTTGTTTTGTTTTGTTCTGCAGCTCCCCCAAAAATACTCATTCAGGAAGCTAATTATACCTGATTAATAGAATTCATGTTTCAACTATAATCCTTCAAAGGAGCAATTTCTGCACATTCCTTGCTTTTTAGTAGAGTGTTCCTAGTAAAGGTAGCTTCAACATCTTCCCTCAGAAACATATCTATGGGGAATTTTTCAGCTGGTTCAAATCAACAGCTTTTGCTTCTCAGGGAAGAGGTCTTCAAGAAAAGGGTTTCTTGTCACAGAATCACAGAATCACAGAATCACAGAATGTTCGGGGTTGGAAGGGACCTCTGTGGGTTATCTAGTCCAATCCCCCTGCCCAAGTGGGGTCACCTAGAGCAGGCCAACCTGAACTTCAGATTTGGTCCTTGAACTTCAGATTTGGCTCTTAACCATAAGAATAAATTGACTGTGTGATGTTTCATAAAGTTCAGTATTAAAGGCTTTGTGCCCTAAGGCACACCTTCAGACTTGGACCAGTCTGTCTTGGATCCACAGCCAATATTTATTTTACACCTTTTTACAGATTCTGTCCCTCTGATCAACAAGTGATTTTCCTGAACTCAGCTACCTCAAAGTCTTGATTCATAGCATTGTTGCAGCTGACCCTCTGGACCTTCAACAGGTAAACCCCAACAAGACATTTTCCACCAAAATGCAGTCCAGCAGCTGGACCACAGACCAGGATGCTGCAAGACTATGGTCAGCTTTTTCTTCCGTATGTAACATAATTTTTGCAGAACGGTGTTCGATGCTGAACCTGAAATTAGTCCTAATCTGGGCACAAAATTTAATAAACTACACTATTTGGTTCGATATAACATTGCTGAATCCAAAGAGCAGAAATAAATAATGTTCACCACAAGATAACACTTAACAATTTCTCTGCTCAAACAACATACACGTAAGGAATAAAACTTCCAGAAATCCTAAAACCACAGAACTGCTAGCGTTTTTATTTACAAATGGAAGGAGATATGTAAATGTGACAATACTCCCACATGTAAAGAAATTCTACTTACTCCATAAACAATTTTTAATAGTAGCAAGTACAGCCAGTGTTGAGGAGGTAGTGAAGTAAAGAGGAGCTACTGTGCACTCTTTTATATATATAGTGATCACTGTTGTCTCTGTAAAGTAAGAACAAGTGTAGAAAGCAGAAAGCGTCGAGGCAGTTTCAATACGTGAAAACAGAGAAGGTAAGTCTGTAGGATTCAAAACAGTATACAAAGTATTCACATGATAATCTAGCCATAGGGAAGCGCTGATTTAAAGACAAAACTTAGAAAACAGACTCCTGTGTACATACTGCTGCAGTATAATTAAACCGTTACATTGAAATATCAGGCTGTTAACACAGCATAGTAGTAATGTTCAGTAAAAAAATAGGAACTGTCATTGCCTGGTGCCTAACTTCTTGGGAGTACTTTTTACCTGTAGATATCCGAAAGGCTTGAAACACAACAGTAACCATTTTTCAAAACATTGTGCTAGAGCTATTTCACTATTTATTCTGACACAGCACATTTAAAATAACACTGTTTTTCAAACCTTTTGGGCCTTTGAGTAATCATGGCAGGCCGAAGCCCTTTGCCATTTCCCTGTCCCTGCTTCTTTCTCTCTCAAAATCTCTGAATCAGTAGTCTGCTCAGGTGATTTGAGGTGGATGTACATTTTCCCAACATTCATCGAGCACAGGTTCATAACAGTTCCCATGCCAGAACTTCTCTTTGTAGGCAGACAGTGAGAGCATTTGTCTCTGTAGCAAGCAGCATCTCCCATGAGTTTATAACTGACCCAATAACCACACTATAGCTGGAAGTAGATGAACGGCCTTACAGCTGCACAGCATAGTGGCAGGTAAACAAAAAAGTAGTAAAAAGCACACTTACAGTGAAGATTTTACATGTTTCAATTACCGAGATGAAAAAAAGCACTAAATTACCTGTGGAGATGAGGGACTAAAACTCACTTTGATGACAGATTCTCTGTGTCCCCCCAGTTTATGTAAAAAAGTGCTTGAACGCATTTCATATATGTAAGCCTAAAAAACAATGAGATTATATTTTCACTTAAAGGAAATTTATCACATTCTAGAAGCACTAACTTATAGTATAGGAAGACTAAAGATTCAGCCTACAGCTAAGTTAGAAAATTTTCATATTAGCTAAACAGATATAAAAGTCATCAACATCTTAGGGTTGATTTGTACAATTTGGGAGAATTTAGCAACTGTTTAAATGAAAAAAATGATTTAGAACAAGTAATGCTATCTTTTCCCCTTAAATAATTAAACACTAGGTATATTTCAAGTAGGCATTTAAAAAATGACCATTTTAAAAAATATTTTTAAGGGCGTTCAGAATTTAAACTCTTTCTTTAAAGTAAAAATATGTAGAATCTAAAACTTTGGTTTCTAAATTGGAAAACTGTTCTGTTTGTCGCTACATTAAATAAAATTTTTCTGTTTCTGTGTAGGTCTTTGCAGTTTTTAATTGAACAGCATAGAATTCAATAACAAATCAATAGTTTTATGAATGACGCAGGTATCATCGATCAGAAAAAGCATACTGTCTGCCTTTGCTTCTCAAAGGAAATAGAGGAAAGTGCTTTCGAAGGAGCAAATTAAATTTAGTAGCAAAATAACTATATTCTTATTGATACAGCCTCAAACAACGAAAAAATGCCAGTGCAAAACTGCATCAACAAACCAAATTCAGTGAAAGTCATAGACGTACTGATACTATGAAAACAGCTGCATTGTGATATTAAATTAGCATTCTCTTACATAAACAAAACAGAAAATATCTTAAAATAAATCCTGTAGTATAGGTCCTCTGCATAAGAAACACTTGTGAAAGTCACTTGCAGGTACATAGGATTGTTTTAGACTATGCCTTATCTAGTAAAAATCACAATTATTTGCAGGATACCATCAGATAATATGCATGCACAAGGCATATCAAAAAAGACACATAACATATGTAGAAAATATGCAGACTTATTCAATACATTATAAATAAAATGTCTATCTCAAAAGAATAAATTGTAAAGCATGCAAAAAATAGTCAAAGAAAGACAATAATCCAAACTTTACACTTTGAATAAAAAATTAAAACGTTCCATTGTCTTCACTAATTCTCTGCAGGTAAGACTCTGCACACGGATTTCAGAGCACAGCCTAACATAAACCTAACCAAACTGTGCATAGATACTGTTACAATACTGTCTGTGACCTGTCTTAAGTTTTTTGTTGATAGTCCCCCAAAATGAGTTTAATCATTCAGACCCAAGGTAGCTGAGCTTCCCCTAGCAGACGGCAAACTGCTACAAGGTATGCGTCCCAAAAGCTTGTGGACTCAACTGACAGTCTCCCCAACTTATGGAAAGATTCGTGGACCACTGCAGGTCCTGAAAAACACTTCATGCCTCACTTGGAAAACAAATCTTATCAACCAGCACAAAAGATTCTCTAGTCCAAACCAGCACTGAAGAAATACCGGATAGTCCTCAGTGTCAAATATTCCATTCATGACCTTATTCACTGAGAGACAGACCAAGAGGCCAACTGTGAATCTACTCAACTGCATCCAGTTTCTATACCTCACATATTCTGGACTCGGTCCAGGATATGGAATTAAAACCATCTACTGGCATAAATAAAGTATCAAAAAAAAGGAGACAGAAACATAGGAATCCATTTTTAACCTCTGGATCTTTTGTAGCATTCCACAGAGATACTACCATACTAACTGGGAAAGCAGCAGAGTCCCCAGTAATGTGTTAAAATCATTGCATCCTTCCTAAAAGGATACAGAAAATCCTTGTTAACTGGAAATTCTGTCTTAAAAAGTAAGACCCTCCTCCCTACTTTTTAAACATCTCAGGAAACTGGTCATAATAATGAGTATTTGATTGCTAGTCATATAAAAGCAGCTTTTTTTTTTTTGTTTAAAACGTGTGGCCATCCCACAGCTGCTGTGACTTCTACCACTTGGGACATGATCGGTTCACAAGGCAACAAATAGGTAAGGGGAACCCAAACAAGGTGAAAGTGATATAATGACATGAAGGAAAGCATTCTGATGTGTCTGCAGACAGAAAATTATTTTCTCTGATGGGAAGTACAAGACCGTGTATTAGTAAATTTGGTCTGTACACAGGACTACTCAAGTTCTTGCTGTTTCCATAAAGGAATGCTGCAATTGCTGTTTGTAAATACTTCCAATTAGACATAAGATTCCTCTTCACTGATATAAAAATATTAAGAGGTGGTGTCAATTATTTACTTCACATCCTTGCAATATTGCCAAATAATTAGGTTTAAACAGAGAAGGTTTCAGAGTTCGAACATAATGGTACCCTTCAAAATTTCCCTTATCGTATAGGGCCGCATCCATCCATTCTCCTACTTCCATACTGGCTTTCCATTCTTCACTCTGATGATACCATACTGAGGCTCAACTGGTATCAAAATTATCAGATGCTGACATCTATGTGTTATCTCAGTACTTGTAACATTGTGCTCTCTTCTTCATAGCCAAGCTTGGTCACACTGTCCATCACCTGACCCTCCTGTCCATATTCCCCATGGGTTTCATTGCAAAACCAAGAGCTAGCAATGACTTTTTACTTCAGCAAGGACGAGGTGTGGAGACCTCAGTCCGGTTGTACTTCACCACCACCATAGTGCCAGAGCAAACAAGGTGGCCATGCTCACATAGTTGATGGAAATCTGCAAGTCTCAAGAAAACGAGAGATGAGATGCTGTAGAAGTCCATAATTCAGGGAGACTCCAGAAAGGAAAGGAGTACGCTGAGTGAGAGGAGAGCAAGAAGCATTACAAGCTGCGCTGCAGTCTCCCCAACAGGATGCTCCTCTGCATCTAATTAACAGAAAAAAGAGTATTCATGAAAACAGGGAGAAATCATTCTTACTGAACAGCTCCCCAAAATCCTGTGGACCTCTTGTCAAAATGGTTCATCAGTACCACAATACTCAGCGACGCTATGACACTTTTTTAAGTGATTCAGATCCTGTTCCTCATAGCTATTGTACACATGTCCATCCCCCTTGGAAACGTGAGAACAACTAAAACAGGACAAATACGTCATGTTTCTTAACACACTACAGAACTTTGTTAGAACTTGTTAGAACCTAAACAGAAAATCACCTAATGAGGAAAATACTGGAAAGAATAAAATCAACTCTAGAATTCAGGTGTTTGGTACACAGCAAAAGTCCTCTGGACTCCGCACAACTGACACATGAGGAGCTAGTAAAATAGAGTTACAAAACTCCTACTGCAAGCAATTATGACCCTTCTCAAGCTAATTACTCTGCAAGTTTTTGGAATGGCTGCATCAGTTCTTCAGCACAAGACCAGTCTTTGGCAGAGAGGTGTAGGCAGCAGACAGCACTATGCTTTCTGTCACTCACCATCTTTTCTCTTTCTGGTCCTAAATTGCCTTACTGTCACTTATCTTTTCCTCTGCCAGCCTACTCTCCTCCCTCCCCTTCATGTATGTAGGTGCAAAGAAGAGGCAAAGTCGAGTGCAGCAAGAGTCAAGAGCACAAAATGCTCCAAATCACTGTTCTACCATGCCTTCCAACAGTTTCTCAGCCAGGAAGACACATGGGTCCCTGTTTTAACCAAGAGAACATATCACAGGGAGTCATGGTTAGTGAAGCCGAACATTTTCCATCATAATCTAGTGGCTTACAGAACTTTGCCAAACTCATCCAATAAAAATTAATTTTCCATTCCAGGTTCTCAGTTTAATTTGGGGAGAAGCACATTAATTTTTGGCTTAATCTCAATGGCCCCATTCCTCTCTGTAAAATAGATGTGATAATATTTCACTGTTATTTTGAAGATAAATCCAATGTTTTGAAACCCAGGTATTCTAGTAATTTATGCTCTTCCACACAGTTCCTAAATCAACCGTTTGGCTTGTACCTTTCTTTCAAAAAAAGCTATGAGCCTGTTGTGCAGTTTCAGTAGAATCTAGCAAGTGCATATCTGGTTGTCTAAAAAGAGATGTTAGCTAACCACACCTCCCAACCTAAAAAGCATGCAAACACTTACCTCCCGCCTTGCAAGAAATGATTCTAAGCCCTGAGCTAGAGGTTAGGCTGGGATGCAGCCTGCTTCTGCATCGTTACATTGTGTAACAAGATTCACTGGGCAAGAGAAAAATATTGACAAGCAAGTATGGATAGAAGCCCGCCTGTAGCTACCACCAAAGCATTCATCAGCAATGGGACGACCTTTCCTCTCATCTTTACTACTGAGACTACTTTTATATTGAACAGCTGCTAGACAAAACACACAGAACGTGGCTGGGAACACAACATTCCCACTCTACTTTACTCCTACAACTCTATCCTAACAGAATTAGTGTTAAGCTTCTTTCTGATGCTGTATTTCTAGCCTTATAAATGGTAAATATTTAGGTGTGGTGGTTCAGCTTCAACAGAACTAGTGGCAGAGTCCCTGACTACATGCCAGAATAGTTTATTATGTGGTGGCTGCTATCATCTTCTCTTCCAATAACTGTGCTTTTAAGGAAAGTAATAGAAAATATTTTAAATCAGAGTAATTTGGACATGTAAGACAATAAAATGTGATTAAAAGAAAAACATCACCATAAAAAATTGTATAAAACCAGCTCCTGTTTAAGTAACTCTAGTCATGGACATTTAAGCTAGCCAGTAACAGTCTTGATTCCGAGAATAAAAGTTAACTTGGTGCAAGATTGAAAATAAACTTTTCAGTAAATTTATTTTTAACTTCAACGGCAAAAAAAAAATCAAAAAACCAACACCCAGTCCAAAGGAAATTGTATTTTAACAGAAATGACATTCAGGTATTCATAAGAAATGGAATAACTCCAGTATCAACATTCTCCTACTATAGTCTGCCACCATTCAAGTTTTACTTCATTTCTGATGTCATTCAAACTGTTTTTCTATTCTATACTTACTAGATTTTTTTAGCATATTCTTCTCCTTAGAAAAAAAAAATAGTAAGTGAATTACAAA